GGTACCTACCCGTGCGGACTCACAAGAGGTCCTACCACCAGTAATTACGCAAATTATAATTTTTGCGGGTTTCATTTTTATTACACGATGTTATTCCTTCACCGTGGAAGTCAATCGTGAACATTTGTTGAGTACGTATTTCATTAGAAAAATTGGTACCCGCCTGCGGGATTCCAACGCCGGTGCAACGCTTCAACACGAATGCACCGGACGTCTTATCCGTTAGGCCACGACGACTTCAAACGCAGAAACAACCGAGACTGAGAATTTTTCAAAGCTTGGGTTTGTTACAAAAAGATTCCAGATTAATTCGAGGCCCAAGGTCGTGTAGGTCAACGTTCCTCACGAACCACGGAGCTCTTTACGGATGGCTTACTTGCAAAAGTGGGATTGTTGGGATTGGAGGGTGTCTATGTGCGTGCGGGCCACATTCGCGTAACGATCGCGGACTGTCATACAGTATGAAAGCGAATAAATGGATACAATGAAATGGAGTCCTAGGGCGTATCTTCTTGGGTTCCTTGGCTTATTTATTTTCTATTTCTATTTTAGGTCATCAAGGTATTGATACATTTTTGTTACAATTTGTATTTTATAGCCATGGATTTAACCTAAAAAACTTTACAAGTATGACGTTTGTTTCTTTTGCTTACATAAATTAGAAAAACATGTTTTGTTTTCTTTAATAGGGGTGTCAATTCATTTCGAAAAATTTCGAACTTAAAAATCGATTCGATACTCTATCGAACCACATAAAAAATCGAGGTCTAAAACTTCGATTATTCAAGAAGCGGTTTTTTTCAGTTTGCATTCAGCTGGCAGTGACCCTGACTGCGCCGAGGGTTATGGGTTCGATTCTCACATCGGGCTAACATTAGTGTGATGAAAGGTTTATTGCCTGAGTGTTTATTATTTATATATCTATATTTTTAAACATATATAAGTATATATTAGCACTCTCTGATACCCATAGCACAGATAATCCCAATTTGGGGCCAGATGACCCTGCGTCATTTGTTCCCAGTTATTAATTATTTATTCCATCTGATCGTGCGGTGTATGGAGTATATAAATAAATAATTTACCAAATATGAAGATAGAAATGCAATTATCGCTTTCAGAGGAATAGTCACATAGTCCTTTAAAAGGACTATTGTGTTTACCACAAGAACTAATGTTTAATTAATAAGAGAAAAATATAATAGAGGTGAGATTGCTATGGATGTAGAATTGGAAAGTTCATCATTGAAAATAGTGCTAGTTCCAGAAAATTATGTGTGGTTGATCGATTCTTTTGGATTTTTTTTATTGAGCTGCCAATTGTTTGCTTTTTTTAAGTTCTTATGTGGGTGTACGAGCCCACGGCCCACCTTGTGTTAAGTGGTTGCCGTAGTCCATAGACATCAACAACATAAATGCCATCATTCACTTTGAGACATTAGTTTCGAATTTTAATTTTTATAGTACAATTGCTGCCCTACCCTTCAAACCGAAACTTAATACTGCGTCACGGCAGAAACAGGCAGAGTAGTGTCATTCACCCATGGGGGCTCACGATCAATTACGTAAATTATAATTTTTGCGCATTAGATTTTTATTACACTATTAAAAATCGATCTTATTTGGCCAAAAATCAACGTCGGATCGGCCTCCGTAATTCTCGAAAATTTTCGGTACAAGCAAAGCGCACGTCTACATATGTCATTGTCAATGTCAATTGTGGTACACCTATGTATGTCTCAAGTATCTTTATGTAGGCTGTGACTAGAATAGAATTAAATAATAAACTTAGTTAAAGCACTGGAAGATATTTTTCTAGAATACGAAAGAAAATGTTTTTACGTTTTAGAAATTTACACCAGTTAAAAAAGTTTGTTAATGTAAACACATTAAACAAAAGATTCTCCCAAGAACCAGCAACTTCTGTTTCAAGTACAGATATCAGTATTAGTGACAATTGTGTACAAAAATTAAAAGAATTATGTAAAGAAAACGATACCTTTCTGAGGCTTTGCGTAGAAAGTGGTGGATGCTCTGGATTCCAGTATAAATTCAACTTAGACAATGTTGTTGATAGTGATGACAGGTATGTATTAGAGCAAAATATCGAAGTACTCTGCTATACAACTCACTTTTGATTGCATAAGATAGTGGCAGAATAAAAAGAATAAGAAAAGAGCTGTAACAAAACTTGTGGAAAGAATATTCAGTGCTATTATTTTAGTAATTAGGAAGCATTCTTGTCAAATATGTAATATCATAACTCATTTTTCATTCTATATAATAATAATAATTAATATTATATTGTAATATTATTTTTCATTTCTTTTTGGCTTCTACATTGAGTTTTCTTAATGGTCTAAATGAGAGACTTCAATCAGTCTGGACTAAATTTCTATATCCCCAAAAATATATACAAGTACAACAAAAGTTACTAATATTATGATAACTTAATTAGGAAAATCAGGACCTTTTATTAGCAACAAATTTTTATCAAAGTAATTGCTTAGTCTTGATTGGTTAAATTCTCCTGCATTGGAGTTAAAATAATAGCAACTAATCAAACACTATGAAAACAAATAAATAACCTTTAAGAATAAAACTATACATTTTAAAAGAGAAAAATTCTATGAAAATAGTGCTGGACTTGTGGTATACTAGCTGTTACTTGCAATGCTTTGCTGTTTTTTTGTGTTATATGAAATTTATACTTTTAATAACCAATTATGTATTACAATCTTTTAGATGAAAGGGCCAGGATTGAGTCGTGTGTAGTGCCATGGGAGATGCCTAAGTCCAACAGTGGAGTAAATAGGCTGCAAATGAAGTACTTATACAATCCAACTTCTTTGTCTCTCTCTTCTCTCTCTCTAATATATATATATAATAATTATATAAATAAGTATATAATTATATGAAGCATACAATCCATACTTGTAATATATTATAAATAGGATTTGCTTCGTAACCTTGCACATCTATGCCAAATAATTTGATCTTTCATGAGACTAATCATAAAATTTTGAATGTAGATTATCAATGATACAGAAAAGCACAGAGAATACTGTCCGTTCAGAACAAGAAGCTGTTCTAGGGATATGTGATTTCTATTTATAGATTATAATTTCTTTTATTGCCCTTGTAGGTATACAAGCATACAGCCCACTTGATAGTGAATGGTTACCGTCACTCATGATCATCACTAATGCCAGGGGCAGAGCCAAGCCGCCGCCTATAATGCATGAAGCAGAGTGTAAAAGTTAGTAAAGAATAAATTGTTCATTATGTATCCATTCATTTATATTATAAATAAAATTAGTGTTAAAATAATTTTTTTCAATAATTGCCAATTTAATTTTTTTTGGGTTCTGAGCAAACATTTAGAGTATATTTTATGCTTGATTTGGTAAGCCAAGACATCATAATTATTTTTTATGATCATCTTAATATTTTTATATGAATTTGTATGAAAGGAAAAAGAGTATAAAAAACCGATACATCTTTTAGTATACTTTATTATAACATTCTCATTTTGTTGCTACTCTAATACAAAACCCTATTACCCTATTACATACCACACCCTTGCCCCTTTGCTCTAATATTCGTTTTTTTTTGTCAATATTTTCTCTTGTTGAAAAATTATTTTAACCATGGAAACCGATGCATTAGCAGTAGCGACTTTTAAATAATGAGGACATCAAGATAGCTAGACGTAAAATGATTGGCTTCATTGGACATGACAGCCTAAAAAAAATTGCATTAATTTTTAGGGTATTATGAAATGATGAATTTTTAATCTTCAAATTTACTTGAACTTTATTTTGTTATGTTTTTTTTTAAGTTCAAGATATTCCAGTTGACGTTGTTTAAATATCAATCTCGTAATTACTGAACTGAAAAAAAATACTACTATTCATTACTACATTTGCCAAAGTTAACATTTTTGCCAAAGGGCCTAAGGAATTTAAGGTTATGCTATTTAGTAATTCAATGTTTTTGTAATTGCATTGAATATGTACGGAAGCTCGCATTATTGTTTTAAGGAAATAGATGAAACAAAACTTTATTGACTAACCAAGTTTTTTTTTCAGGATATTTGAAAAAAATGGTGTCAAAGTGGTGGTTGATGAGACGTCACTTGAGTATATTAAAGGTTCAACAATAGATTATCACACTGAACTTATTAGGTCTGCTTTCCGAGTGCAACAGAACCCAAATGCAGATATAGGTTGCTCTTGCGGTGCTAGTTTTTCTATAAAAATTGATTGAAATGGCCATATTAAACCACTGTAAATTTTTTATGCAATTATGGAAAATAATTTAGTTAAGAAATGAATGATTACATAGAATATAATATGTGTTTTAATAATACTTAGTAATTAAACTGTAAAAACAATCTACTTAAAGAGTTTAATGATGTGAAAATACCTAAATCTCTTTTAGTTAAAGACTAATCTCTCAATTACCAGTCATTTTCATGTGATAACAAACAAGAGCTGACAGATTGTGAACAATTATTAAATAATGAATAGTTCAGAATCTTAGTGATAAAGCTCTCTGAAATTTGTTCCATAGAGAGAGGTTCGAGAAACTCTTCCAGATGATCTCGTAAATTTTTACAATCCGCCGTCGGAGTAGAATTTGTTGTTACCGTGAAAAACTCTGTTTGGTTTGGACTGAGAATGAAATCCCTTCGTTATTTCTAAAGTCTCTAGTGGTAGATAGCGGCTGACATGTGTTTCTTATATTGCTAATATCCACAGAGGATGGTGGGCGCTCACCATTAGGTGGGCACCTTGGAAATAAAAAAACCGTGTATTTAAATTTTATATACAATAAAATCCTCCAAAATCGCATGGCGCTATGGTGGACCTTTTGACAAATCCAAATATCCAGAGGAGGAAGCGCTTTGGATTTATCGAGGGTGGACACGTAAACGATCTTTTTACAACGACCATATATTCTAACATAAAAAATAATAATTAAAAATGTTATTTTATTTCATATTAAGAAAGACAAAACAAAATTGTCAATGAGACTGAGATACATTGATTGCGGCCCAAACGTTGTCTAGTTTCGGCGACGGCAGAGTTATCATGGGTTCGTTCTTAGAGGAATTCACAGGCAATCTGAAATTATTCAAATAAAATTATATTTATATTATTGAAGAGTATTATAATTTACCCATTAAACGTACGTATTTGTAATATGCGTACTATATACACAGTTACATCTGGATGCACATAAACAAAGAACGGATGTGATGGTCACGTCGGAACCCACGCTCGGGGCTTGCTCCACATGAGAGCGCCGTTCTTTTTCCGTACCAAGCCATCGTCAAGCCGGGATAGAATCTCGCCTGAAATCTGGTTCTGCCCGTATACCGGTTTGGGGACCAGCAAAGCAGACCCAAGAAGACGACGTGTTAAGGGCCTTATCATACTAGCGGTTTGCGAGCGCATGCAGGGCGGAGCATATCCGCCGCGAATACACCGTGAAGACTCGGCGGCTGCTCAGTGAGGACATCGCGGCGTCGCCGACCCGTGGTAGATACGCAACGTTTTCGTCGCGTATTTTTAGCGAGTTAACGTCGTATAACGTAATACACTCAGTAACAAAACTTGTTACTTCGAAGATGCCGAAGACGAAAACGAAAGCATAGACGAATTTGGGAGGATCCATTATCAATTAAATCGAATGGAAGAGAGCGACTACTTTGTTAAGAGTTATTGCACCTGATACTGACTGAAGTGAGGCGGGTGGACGGGCTGGCGTTTGTACGAGACGATAAAAAATGGCGTCTACGCTGCTATTCGCGACGATCTCCATGCGCGTCCGTAACGAATTCGCTGCGCATACGCGGCGTGTTCGTTGCGCGCCCGCTGCTTTGAGAACGCTCGCAATCCGCTTTATATTATGATAACGCCCTAAGAGTGACGGATGACCGCACTCTCCGATGCATGTTGGTTCTGACCCAGTGGAGTATCCAGGAGTTATGTGTTCGCGGCGATGTCTAAACGGGCTTCGGATTACGTGCCGACCGAGATACTCATTGGTCATTCGGCCTGTGGGAGTAGAATTTGCGCGATCCTTACTCCCGCCCAGTCTCGGTTGAGTTTTGTCTCATCTGATGCAGATTGTTGAGCGACAAGAGGTTTTATTCTTGTTCAATTTAACGTATGCCGCTTAGCCCCTGCAATCTATAAGTGGAAGGCCGGCGATTTCTTCCGGACCCAAAAAATTAAGAAGTATATGTATCTAGCAAGAAATCTAAATAAATGTAGTTTCAAAAAAAACGTGCTAGGACTCACTGCTGAAAATCCCCAGAAGAAACGAAGGCGTCATTGACTTTTTTCACATTGTGCGGCGAATAACGGTTGTACTTTCCCCAGATACTATTCATGAATTTGCTGTTATACTTTACAGGTAATTCAACATCTGAAATTATTTTAACGATTATTACTTAGGTACATTAAATAACTAACTACCAGTAATACGCCTATTATCTTCATATAAATTAATGTTTTTGATTATTCAATACCGAAGTCGTTGTGGCCTAAAGGATAATCTCGAATCCCACAAGCAGTGAGCTTAGTGTCAGTTTTTTAACGTTCTCGATAGCGTAAAAGTTAACTCAAATCTGTAGGTACCTATGCAGTTGGAACAGCGCCCCTAGTGGCAATTGTAGGCAAACGTATATTTCTGCCGTGAAAGAGTAATAAGTTTCGGTAGTACCAAAAAACTTAGACTGACTCGGAATTCGTGTAACAAGGCGGATGGTGGCGTGTAAGTTTTTGATGTCTATGCATTCCGGTAATGGGTTGGGTAATTCCGGTGGGTTGTCAGCTCGTCTACCCATCTAAGCAATAAAAAAACACGTGGTGCTCTCAACAATATCGGACAGTGTTCAAACTGAAAGTCTCATTTGGTACTTAAATCTAATATGAGCTACACTTTTTTAGAGCCTGCCATGAGCACACGAGCTTACCTGTTAAGTGGTTACCGGATCCACTGTTTTGTAGCGGTTATCAGATCCAAAGATATCTTAAAGCTAATACTGCCACCCTTGTAGAGAAATAGGGTGAAAGTCGCAACATTAACCTGCCCTTCGAACCGAATTAACCATCAGAAAAGGCATAAGTATTATAAGAGAATTTGAATTAATAGAAAGCTGGGTAGGTGATTTTTTCTTCAAGTATTGCCACCTCATTCTTGTTTATAATAAATCTGTTGACGACCGTTCACTCCTAGGCTTGAATCACAAACGGGATGTAAAAACATAAGAAAAGTAAATTTTTGGCCTTAGCCTAATAAAATCGAATAATTAGCTAAAAACAATGGAATTTAAGTTTTTTTATTTTATTTATGATATCTGTGAACCTGTAACATGCTTTCATATCTATTTACCATTTCTATAAACAGTCTCATTAAATTTATGTAACTTATTTATTCAACAACAACTCACTTGTGAAACTGAAATATTTGTCAGGTTTCTTGCCCATATCAACATTGGGCATCTTCAAGTCACGATTTTCACGTTGAGTTTCACGGATACGCCCAGCCGTAAAAGCGGATGGCGGAATGCAAGACATTTTCTTCAGTTCACAGGCTGGAAAGGAAATTAGGATATTTCTCAGAACAGGATCTTATATTTAGAGAACGGTGTTAGGGCGTATCTTGGAAAGATACCTAATGTAGAAGCCGGGGATTCTAATTTCCATTTGCGGGAACCATTTTGCTTAAAACTTAGTTACTATTAAAAGTACTTACTTTATAATTAATGATTAATGCATGAGTGTTGTGTACTGATGGTATTTACATTTTAACTGATACATTGATCTTAACATACACACTCAGCAGAAAAGAAACGGCAACAGCGTATTATCCCAACGGGCTGAAACTACATACCGAGTACATTGATATTTTTTTTAGATTCTGCTGAAATTCATTCGAAAACGTGCTTGAAGAGTTTCAGCAAGCTAACTTAACCATCTACGAGAAGTAAATTCATAGCAATATGGTAAAGTGGGAGGGGAGTAATGTTGCGAGATCTTTTACCGAATAAAAGAAACCCGGCATAAATATGAATCGCGATAATACCAAGAATTTACACTCGCTCGGTACACTTTATATTATAAGGAATTAGGTTAAAAATACATTTTAAATGGTCTAAGTAGGTATATTATGTTGTTTGCCAAATAATGCATTGCAAAATAACTCTGTACGAAAATTGGCAATATAAATAATTCTTAGTATTTAAAAAAACAAAAAGTAATAGCTATGGGGTTATTCTTTTGTGTGTAGTAAGCTAGGCTTTACCGGACACGACATTAAACAATATTTTTACTACCGAATTACTTCGAATTTGGACTATATTTTGACAAAGAACTGAAAATGTTGCGTCAATATTAATTAATACGCTGGCTGGTTAACATGTTTTAATCAATGGCAATAGTAAAAGCCTCCGTGTTTTACTAAAGTATTTTTTAAAAGAATTTAGGAACAATATGAACTTTAGATTAATATATAGATTGTTCGCCATATTTAGAATGTGTTATCGTGTTTATAATATACCTTTACACAGTTCGAAGATTAACTTGCTCAGTGTCACAGCTTTCTTTTGTGGAATGATGAGCTCAAAACTATTGGAGTCTTCGCAAACGCTGCGGTACGTGCAACGAAATTTTCTTGGATTCAGCAGCACCATGAATTACACGGACCAAAGAGAACGACTATTACAGTAGGCAATAGAGTAACTACTGACAAGATGGCTGCTCAGTATGAGTTCACGACCCCAATGTCCAGTTATCAGTTTCCAGCGACGAGAAGGCGACGTAATGTTTCAAATACACAAATATGATAAGTTGTTGGTCCTAAAGTTCGAACATACGCACAGGTGGCTGTGATTAAATATTGTTTTTAAGCTTTGATCATAACACATAGCAACAAACATAGCTCTAAAAATATTAAAAATCCTATTTAAACGAGCATTTACGACTAATGCTAAGAAAAAAACAAAAAATTATATTCACACAATATGTCGTCACTGTCAGCCAAATCATTCATTTTGTTTGTTTGTTTGTTTTATATAAGTGGACGAGCTCGCGACCCGCCTAGTGTTAAGTGGTTACCTGAGCCCATAATCACCAACAACGTAAAAGCCGCCAGTCACCGTGAGACCTGAGTTTTAAGTTACCGTTTTTACAGTACAACGGCTGCTCAGCCCCCCAAACCGAAACGCATTACTGCTTCATATTAGAAATAGGCACGATAGTGTTACCTACCCGTGCAGGCTCACAAGATACCCTACCACCAGTAAAAAACTGTGTAGGCCTTTTGTCAGAATAATGCTCTTTATTCTGAGCGACATATTATTATGTTGTACATTCTCGTATAACTATAACGTAATATATAGGTAGTTATTTTATAATAACCTGTCCCTACCTACTACACTACACTACGAACACACACACACTACACCTGCCTACACTACCTATACACTGTCCGTAGCGCGCTTTGGGATTGTTTTCTTTCCGTCCATGTTAGTCCACTAGTTCCAGCTACCCGAGTGCCTCCAAGGGAGATCTAACAACTCAAGAGTAGCTTCTTCGCGAATCTACTGCCGGATCGGAATCGCGGCCCGCTGAGAAGATCCGGCGAGAAACTCAACGGGCTGATGTTAAGGTTAGATTGCACGTCGAACTCTTTGCCGAGTTCGACGAATACGGTTACCGGGGTCTCTCCTAGTGTTAGAGCGGAAGGCGTCTAATGCAAGGGTTATTGCATCTGATGGAACCGTAAGGACGTGGAGTTCCGTTGTTACAATAGCTGCTGCCGTAAGCAAAAATGCTATTGCTTTGGACTGGGAACGATTTATAGGGTTCTATATATATTTATAAGGAGATGCCATCCATAACAGACTTGGTAGACTTGGTTGGAGATAGAAATACTATTTACTTTCCATAAAACATGCCGTTGTCGCTTGTCCAAATTTATTTTCTCCATGCAGGTTCATTTGAATGGTTTAGATGATATGACCGATCCATGCAAAATACACGTTTTACGTTATGTATCTTATTTCATTTGCAAATATCTGTCTATGTATATTATATAAGGCTGCTTACAAGAATAAAGACAAGAATACTTTACATAATAGCTTTCATAATCATGGTAATTAGGCGTCACCTGTGTTGGGTTATTTGTATTTTTAATTCAAAACCAACGAAACAGGTATTGTACAGGTATAACTTGGTCCACTTTATGTAAATCATATTATATTGATATATTTTGGTCCGTTGCCGTATGAAAAACGACACAACCAATCGCACATCGCTTAAATGTATAATAATATGTATTAGGATTTTTTTTTTCTACCTATGCTGATAGCCTACAGCGGCGATTTCAGCTTCTCCTTGACTTGACGTGTAGGTGAGCTCATAGGGCTCAAACCGGGAGTGTTGCTAACACTGGCCCTAGCAAGAGCAGTGCTTCGCAGAGTCTACCACCGGATCGGAAACGCAACTCACTGAGAAGATCCGGCGAGAAACTCAATGGGCTGTGTGTATGGGGGGATATTACGATATGGCATCCTTAATATAGTAGCAAGCATCGACCCATCTTTCTATATGGTACAATATACTTACAAATCCAACTAAGCCTTCAAATTACGAAAGACAAATCTTAAGGTTTGTTTATAAAATGATATGTATAAGGAAAAAAACATTCGAGTGCACGTAATGTTTCCAATATATTTCGAAACTTAATTAGAATTACAAGAACGTCATAAGTATTTTTATTTAATAAGAAAAACAACATTTCATATTGCTAGCTGTGAGTTATTGAAGTAACTTAATTTTTATTTAAACTTATCATAATACGGACAAGCATTGACCTTTGTAACCCCTTATCTATTTGGGTTCCACGAATATGTGAATAAGTACAAGTTTGACAGTAAATTCAATAAATACTTACCTGTTATTTTGTAATCACACTGTTATTAAATTTTATTTCCCTTAGAGTGAATTTATGATAAGCACTATGTTTCTATGTTGAGTTTCATCAAGTTTTGGGTGGACAGTCGTTTAATACTGTGCCTAATGTGCGTTCTTAAAATTTTTAATGACACAATCATTATGTTTTTTATGTTTTTTTAAATCTTAAACTAATAAGGAAACAATGTACTATATGTAGCTGATCAGATTATTTTTCAAAATAAAAATAACCGCAAATATTCGTATCTACGTACGTAGATACTTGGGATGAAAATGCAACCAGGCGCAATAGTATATAAGTAATAAAAAATAAATATAATTAATAATAAATTCTAAAAGTAGCCATGACTTTTTTATTACTATTACACAGGGTCCCCTATTATACTTTCAGCTGCCACCTATTATCTTAAGCATTTGGTAAATGAACTATAATTGCCATATTTAATTTGATTGGCAACTATATGCAGTCTATGGAGTGCATAGCGTGACTGAACTTTCCATGTTAGAATGAGCTACTTAATCTTAGGTGGTCCCGCTCTGATTATAAAGGAAAAATCTATATTTGATAGAATGTTTAATTTGGATGTATACAAATTCGGGATAGTCTCTTATAAACAGAATATGAATGTTCAGTGCCTCATGTTCAATTATGAATGAATGATTGATTATGGCGATCCCACAAATCTCGATTTTTACCATCACCGCACCGTCCACCACTACAGCAGAGTTCGTCCGCACTACTGGAACAATTGCGCTCTCCCTTCTTCATCCCAACAAATCATTAGTCTCTGACATGAACAGTTCCAAAGCGTTTCATGAACGCTATGACTTTCAAATGAGATTGAAATCTTACCGTTAACGCTAGTTAATGGTCCTTGAATATCAGTGAGCATTTAACAGCTGGGCCGTATTTATCAGTACTGATCAAAGGCATAAGAAATAATAAATAGCTCGGTATCGATTGGGACTCGTATACATGTGTCGAAATTGAAAACAAATCCTATTAATCTATAAGTTCTTACTTGAAAAAGAAAACGATAATATAAAGTTACATCACATTTATTTCTGATTCATATAACGTTGCGGGTATGTACATTTCAAATATATATATAATCTATAAATAATACTGAGAAACGATATTCAAAATTTACAAAATAAAATTAGCGCATGAACATTTTACACATCTGTAAGCGTCGAAAAGCTTAACTGGACAAGCTCCGATCCTGGCTTTGTTACAAACTGATTTTTATGGGATTTAGATTATAAAAGGAACAAACACCAGTGAATATTTTCGTTATTTCCTGAGTAAAAACTTACACAACTATGTAACTATTCAATAATGTCGTTAAAATTTTAAAGTAACATGTATTGTCATATTATTATTATCTTAGATGATACAGATTTCTTTATTGTTTCTTTAAGTACTTAAGATAGATATGCTGCTGTAATAATTTGTACAACGTTTAAAAACCACAATAAATGCCGCATTCCGTCTTAACGGTTTATAGTTTACATGAATTATAGTCTGCTGGTGTACTCTCATGATACACGTTCGTATTTAGATATTTCTGGCACACTATTGAGTATCTGGCACTGTTTCATTTGTACATAATTATTTTCAATGTTATTATAGTTTAGATTAAAAATTTTACATTTCAGAGATTGAACTAGTGAAACTTAAATCTTAAATAAAAAATAAATTATTAATGTTAACATAACATTTATACTAAACAGTGGCGTTTCGTTTGAACACTAAAGAAGTATCGGGCGGGCGCCGCACGTCGGGCTGTGTTGGTCTCGCGTTGGTCATTCACCTTCAAAAATGTTTCAATGTAGCCCTGTGTAACAGATGGAGAAAAATTTTTTACTGGTAGTAGGACCTCTTGTGATTCCGCATGGGTAGGTACCATCACCCTGCCTATTTCTGCTGTGAAGAAGTAATACGTTTCGGTTTGAAGGGCGGGGCAGCCGCTGTAACTATACTGATACCTTGGGTGGCGGAATTTGTAGATGTCTATGGGCTCCTGAAACCACTTAACACCAGGTGGGCTGTGAGCTCGTCCACTCACTTACGCAATAAAGAAAAATTGTTAAATAAATTTTGACATAAAACTATATCAAGGGGTGGAAGGCTATTTGTTTTAGGCGACATTCTGCACGCGAAGGTGTGTTTTATTTGATATTAGCATCAACAGTTCGATGTTTTTAATTGGACTTCAATCTTGACCACTGCACGAACACTAGATATGAACTATACAGTAGGATAAATTCAAGCAGAATTGACATGTTCGTTCATAATCGGCAAATGGTGGTCAGTAAGATCCGGCCTTATAAGAGTCTATCCGGATATTAGACGGAACACCCGGGTATGCGATGCTCGATCCACTTCCGCGTGATCCATTCTAAGTTGACTGATTTCAAGGATGGTTAGTGGAGTCCTACTCGTGGTGTTGGCGGCGGCTAGTAGGTGCGGATGACGGGCGGCACGGTGCTGCACTCGGCGGCGTCGAGCGTGCGGTCGATGACGGGGCGGTAGGTGAGGCGCGTGTCGCCGGTCGCGGGGTCGGTCTCGGCGAGCGTGTGCTTCCTCCAGTGCTGCTCGAACGGCAACTTACTCTGTCGATGATAGACGACGATAGTTATTTGACTGGATTTAATGCGATGAACAACATAAACCTGAGTAATTTTTTCATTTCGTAAAATTAAAAATTTTCTCTCCCTACGTATAGTGTTTCCCATTATGGCCAATAGATGGCGATGTTTGGAATCCTTGCA